ACAAACACCCACCATTGTAAATATCTTTTAGATTTTAATTACAGTATTTCAACAAAAAGTTGATTACTGATAATTTTAAGGAAAATTTATAAAAATAACCGGTTTACACAACCATTTATCATAAAATAACCATATTTTAGATTTTTTGCTGGAATGACAAAAAATTTATCCTCAAAAGTCGAGATTACTGTTCATCATCGTTGACCATGTTTGACCTCGCCCCCAGGGCGATCCGTACTGTTTGGGGGGCGATCCGGGTAAAATAAAAAAAAATTTGATTTTTTTTATAATACCAATTTCACTATAAATACCAACCTCCTACTTCATAATTTTTCACACCTTCCCTTCCACTTCTCTTCTCATATATTTTACTCTCACAACCCTTAACCCATTAAACACAATAAACCATCACAACCTTTAACCCACTAAACACAATCAACCATCACAAAATATGAAATCATGTCAAATTGATAATGTTTGTGTATATATCTTCGAAGTGGCGGTTTATTCCAAGATATAAATGGTGTTTTAGAGTACCTTCCGATAACCTCCCCCACATGTGCAATACGTTTGTGTTCGCCAATAACGTATTCTGGGGTCGTCAAACGTGTGACGAAAAAGTTAAGTTTACGTCTCCATAACTATCATGGTTTATTTTTGCGTCTCTATAATCAGATATAATGTCTGATTTTTTCACCAAAAATCAGCTAAAAATAATTTTTTCATAACTACAATTATCATTGTCTTATTTTATAACGAAAAACCATGAAATTTTAAATTAAATATGTTAAAAAACACAATTTATGTATTGTTTCATTTTTATTAAAAACACCCCTTAATTGTCAACTCAAAAACACAAAATGACGAAATAGAGGTCAAATTTCGTAAATCAGATATTATATCTGATTTACGAAACCCAAATCAGATAAAAATAATTTTTGCGTCTCCATAATTATCATGGTTTATTTTTAAACATTTACTCATGAAATTTGTTTAAAAAAAAGTTAAAAACTACAATTTAAATGGGACCCACCAACAATATCTTCTTTTTAGGATTAAAATGGGACCCACCAATATTTTTTTTTCTTTATGAATAGTACGGATCTCCCCCAATAGTACGGATCGCCCCCCCGGGGGGGGGGGGGGGGGGAGGGGGCGATCCGTGTGGTTATTTTCGCAATGTGTCTAGAAAGTGATTATTTTGTTATAGTGGGTTGTATAAAATGGTTATTTTGGTGATTTTCCCCAATTTTAATCAGTTTCATATACAACTCGTTTTTAAAAACACCAGCTCAAGAGATATTTTTTGACTCACTTTAGGGTTGAGGCTAGTCCTCAGAGGGAGAGGATTCAAACCCAAAACCTGTTGTGTCTAGAAAAAGTCATCTTATCTTTTTACCAACTGGGCTATACGTCAGAGATAATTTTAGTTACAATAATTATTATGTGTATATATATATATATATATATATACACACACATTTTTACATTCAGTAAGATAGTATGTGAGTGAGCAGGACGATGAACAGTGACCCCTTTTTTGAGAAATTACACGACAACATTTTATTTATTTATAGTCATAATTCATAAAACCCTTCATGATTTAATGAAATTGTAGCATCAATATTCTATAAACTTCTTATTTTACAAACAATATCCCAAAATATTAAAACATTTAACAGTTTCATATATGGGTCATGTTTAGGGACCGTTTATCCAAATGTTTACCTGATAAGCGTTTACCAATAGGAGTTAACACTATAATTATTTTTTATGCATAAGATTTTAGTACATCAAAACATATCGAATGCAACAATTTACTGGGTAAACGCTTAACTGGGTAAGAGTCGTCATCCTCATTTACCGGGTAAAACTCTCCATCATTCTCATCGCTCTTATCCGGTAAGATTCTTGACCCTTCTTATGTTCATCCGATGAGTAAACTTATGCGGTAATTGTTTAATAAACAACCCCTTAATTATCAATTTAAATTTAAAATTCAAATAAATTACATATAAGATTTTTGAATTTATAATGAAAATAAAATATAAATGACATGAATAAAACACAAATAAGTGAAATCGGTTAAATTAATTAAATTAAAATTGTGCAATAAAAATAATAAATAAATGCACCATTGATTTTAAATATTATGTTCTTTAAACCGTTGAAAAATATGACACTAATAATTAAATACAATAATAAACAAATAAAAATAAATAAACAATAATATATTTATAATTCGATATATGTTATTAAGATGGGCCCCACATCTTGTATTTATCATGAACCAATCCTTATCTATGAATTGGTTTATCTTTGGAACCGTAAATGATGGATGCTAGACGCTGTGTCTATCAATCCGTGCAAGTTATTTTTTTTTAATAAAAATTCAACGAGGGCAGAGAATTCATCGTTGTCTCGGTTGTGCTACCGGAGGCCCTGGGGAAGTCGGAATCGCCGATCATCCCTACGACGGTGAATTTGTTCTCGTAACTCCCAGATGAAAATGTAAGCCCCGATCATTGTGGGTGCTCAATAGATCGTTGGCATGTGATGTTGTTTTGGCTAACTTATCTCTTGGTCATTGAGCGTTATATATATGTTTGCTACTGCGCCATCCATAATTTGATTCCTAACTGCCATACAATTTTCTAGCTAGTGAACATCAATGGAACGTTATAAGCATCGCCTCCAACTTACTCATAACGTGTTAGCGGGATACAAAAGAACGTTACAAGGGGACCATGTTGACCCGTTAAGGGTTGATCTGAGTTGTTTATCTCAAACGTGTCAAATGAATATAAGAACATTCAGATCTGGGTTGTGATATGAGTTGTCACCGTTACTACAATCACCTTCACCCCCAATCCCACCGTCACCGTTATCCACCGCCACTACTACCACCATCGAAACCACTACCATCTCCACCTCACCGTCAATATTATAATCAACAAACAACACAGATAGATTCAATTTATTCTGATATATTACATTTCAATTCCTGCCAACAAACACATGATTTAGACTGACTGAATTCTATTCTAATTCTTTTATATTCTAATTTCTTTAATAAATACCCTACTTTGACTAATATTAGATAGTCATCATATTGATACCTTATCCAACCCACTAGACCTTTTCACTTGATATTTTAATCCAGAATTTAATATTAATTTGATAATTTATTAAAATATTTGGTATTTAAAATATTTTTAATAGAAAACAAAATGTGTCAAACGTAAGGATCGTACACCAGTTTAACTATTAATTTGGTGTTATATATATATATATATATATATATATTAGAAGTATATTCGCGTAACACAGCGAGATACATCGAGATAATATTTCTTTTTCTTTTTTGTTTCTATCGGTATAATACGATTTTATGTGATTCTGAGAAAACGATAATGTTTTTATTCATAAAAATTTTAAAAAAATATATCGATATTAGTATCAAATTAACTATCTAAAAAATTCTCGTTTTTTACGTAATTTCTTTAATTCAATTTTTTTTATTATAATTTAATTTAAATTTAATAATATAATTTTTATAAGGATAATAATTAAGTATTTTATTATAAGTATAACTCAATGATTATCTTAATTATATTTTAGATTTTTTATAAAACAAGATGTTTATCCTGTAGTTGATTATATTTATTTGGCATAGCGGTATCGTAGCCCTTGGCCTTCTAGGAGGTCAGGGGTTCAAACCTCACCATATGTAAGGAGGGTGTGTGAGTTTATTTGTTGCATTTGCCGTATATTAAATATTATATACTTAAAAAAAAAAAGTAGTTACATGATTTCAAACATGAAACTTTAATAAGTTGTACTTACGTACAATTTATTTGTAACCTCGAATTTTAAGTAATATACATCAATAAACAGTATTTTATGCATAAAAAATAATTTTTAAAAATATTTGTCAAATACTTTATAATATAATATAAATATCATGTATTATGAGTTGTTATAATAAGAATCTATTGACAACATAATAATACTTAAGGAAATCTAAGCATTTAATTTTCTTTATTTAATTACTAGAAAAATACAATTTCAGTGATATATAAAGTTTTCATCATGCGTGGGACCCTCGTCAAATTAAAATACAAAGACGTGTTATGAAACACCATGGGTTTACTTGGTGACGTGTGGAATTACTGTTTATTGTAATAAATTAATTAATCAAATAATTAATATTTTAATCCCCCCATTACTTAAATTAGAATCATTTAACTTAATTTAATTACATACGATTTAGATTTATCACTTTAAAAAGTAAGCAATAAAACACATGTCTAAACCTCATTAATGACTCTTTTAAACTGCTTTTGTTGGATGTCCTTTTGGTCTCTTTTACACGATATTATATTATTTCTCCATTAGATTTCATCTAGATTAATCGAACACGCCACAAATGTTCATTCCTAAAATACCCTCATTGACAGGGATGGACCCAAGAATATTTTTGATATAGTGGCACCATATAAAATGGTTGCACATTCCAGAATAAAACGGTTGCACATTTCACGAACCTAACTTTTTTACCTTACCACGGAGGAACAATACGGTGACATGTGTCACCTAACCACCCCTCTAGGTCTGTTTGTGCCTCATTCAGATCTTTGTTAAAGACTCATAAGGGTTGAAGGTTTTCTTACAGACTATCGATGAGTCCTTTTTGTAGTTTATCAGGTAAATAGATGATATTGTATACCAATAATGACTGATGACGTAAGGAAAACAAGAATGCAGTCACAACTGAACTTAAGGGTAGTTTGGTAACTGATGAGTTTTGAGGTGGAGTTACTTTAGTAAGGTCATGCATATTAAGTGAATATGGAAGGAGGGATGGCTTTGATAGAGACCCTTGTGAGTTTGATGATGGTTTTACAAGAGGTTTTTGGTGGTATAAATATGTGTCTCATGATGATATTTAAGGATATAAAAGTAGCAAACACTAAATGCATTATTAAGCATACATATATATGGAAGAATCCATGAGATTTTGGAGAAAAGGTCCGTGGACTACTGAAGAAGATAGCTTGCTTACTGAACATGTCAAGTTGCATGGCGAAGGGCGATGGAACTCTGTGGCTAGACTTGCTGGTATGCTTTGCTTTTCTGTTTCCAGTATTGGAAACTTGTAATACAACAGAACTGCACACTAATATACATGGTGATACACAACCTTTGTTTTGATTTTGTAAATCAAGTCAGTTTCATTTTTTTATTAACCTGGATATCCAATCCGTTATGCAAGCCGACTAATCCTAGAGCAATCACCTGCTTTGCGGGTAGCCTGGAGTCACCGCACAAGTGGATTTTTTATTCCTCCTTGGATTTGAACTTGAGACCTCCAGACACTTTTTGACCTCTGGAGCCCAAGTTCAAACCAATTAGGCACCACCCTTGTGGTTAACTTAGTTTCTTTTGTGTACAGGGTTGAAAAGAAATGCAAAAAGTTGTAGGCTAAGGTGGGTGAACTATCTCAGGCCGGACCTAAAAAGAGGCAAAATTACCCCTCATGAGGAGAAAATTATTCTTGACTTACATACGCGATGGGGAAATAGGTAAGTCATTTTGGATCTTTTTCCGTATAACTAACTGCCAAACTGGGTGTATATATACATATCTTTCTCATAAAGCGTACGTTTTAATATGCTTGTAGGTGGTCAACAATTGCACGAAGCTTACCTGGACGAACGGATAACGAGATTAAGAATTACTGGAGAACTCATTTCAAGAAAAAAGGGAAGTTGAACTCAGATGATTCAGTAAAGCTGAAAGCACGTCTATTAAAGCGACAAAAGTTCCAACAAGAACAACGGAATCAAATTCAATTACAAAAGAACAAAGAAGACATGGAAAAAGTATTGTTGTTGCTTGAAGAAAGTAACAGCAAAGTAGCCTCGAGGCACCAAGACATGGTTCATGAGGAAATGCCGAGCGTCTTGTATCCGATGACGTTTAACGATTCCCAACATGTGGTAGAAACCAACTCCATGTATGACGATTTTGTTTTGTGGGATGGTTTGTGGAACTTTTAGGATGGTCCTAATGCCACAACCAAAGGTTGTGTGCCTATGCCTTCCTTTTAATCATCAAAAGTGGCTAAAAGTAGCCACATAACTTGTACCGTTACTATTTTCTTGATGCAACTTTAACTTAATAAAATAAAGACTAAATAAAAGTATCGTACATCAAATTATTGATATTTTGGCATCTTATGTGTCTCTTATTTTGAATTATGAAAATGGAACCTTTAATCATGTCATCCTTATGGGCTGTTTACCAAACGTGTACTGGGTAAATGCTTACATGACAAGAGTCACTACTCTCACTTACCTTATGGGATAACATTACTTGCCATTAAAACGGATTGATGGTAAACATTTATAACCCAGTAAGTGTTACCAGATAAGATTCTTAGTCTTTGTTATGTTCATCTGATAAGGTAATTGAACCAGTAAGCATTCATCAAGGTAAATGTTTAGTAAACGGCTCCTTAGTGGTCATATGCCTCATCGAGAGTCTACGACTTAAGTAAAATAAGCTCAAAAAGCCCAAAACAAGTAAAGGATACATCATCACATCACCACCACATTTTTGCCTTGCAAGAATAAAGGATTTTGGCTTTCAAGTAAAGGACTTGTACTACATGAATTAAGTTAGAGGTGAGATTGTGACTTTTGACCAAAACCATTTAATCCTTTTAATTTGTGAGTAGCATCTACTCTTAATTTCATCTTAGAAAATAAATATTATAACAATTAAAATAATTTTACAATAATTCATAGTTATGAATTCAAATCCGACATCCTTCATATATTATTACATATACATCATTCGATAATTCATGTTAGAATATCTGGGTGTTTCAATTGCTTGGATTACTGAAAGTTGTGATTCACTTTCAGATTGAAATATTTCGATGGTACAATCGGATAAAATTCAGTAATTCGAACAGAGAATCGATGTTATAAATCTATCTGTACCCTCGAAAATCAAATGACCAATACGAAAAAGAATTCGAAAACTGTCAAACGGCAGTTTCAAAACCACCAAACTGGGTTAAAAAAACAGGCCCAAACCGGGTTCAAAATCACAAATTCGGATTTTCGTGCATTTTTCATATAGTAACATTAATCTGCCAGGGGCTCTGCCTCTTGGACCCCGCTACCAGGGGCGCTGCCCCAGGACCCCCGTCGTTTAGGGGCTTCACCCCTAAATAACGGTATATTTTAAATCGAAATAAACTTAAACAAGTGTGCACTCCGCACCACCCTTACTTGTTCTATATTTATCAAAATTACATTAATCAACAAATAAATCTCATTACACTTAAATGATATTGGTGATATAAATCACCAACAATTCATAGAAAACATATATTGTTTAGTAAACTTTTTGATTTCTTTAAATGTTTTTATAATGATTTTAATTTTAATTAAAAATTAATCAAACCAAACAAATCTAGTATATTATGTTCGAACGTTGGTTTTAGCATTTGACGATAAAACACTTTTAGAAAAGTGGGTATTAACGATCAAAAACTTGCTACGGACTGATCCGTCGGTGATTTGCGACAAATCAGCTATAAAACCATTTTTTTTTTAAATTTTACTCACGTTTTTCCGGCGGTTGTATGATCCGTCGCTAATCGGTGGCTAAATGTACATGTTTGCTATGGATTAGCGACGGAGAAAGATGACAATTGTTTTTAAATAAATAAAAAGATGAACTTAATTAAATATCTGTCATAAATCCGTCGCTAATAATTAAAAGAACTATATTTGCCATGGCTTTGCCATATATATAATTACTAGAAGGGTACTCGTACAATGCAGCGAAATACATCTCGATTTTAATGTTTCATTTTATTCTGTCCCCCTGTCGATGTTATAATACGGTTTTATGTGGTTTTGAGAAAAATGATAATGTTTTTATTTTTGAATAAAATATAATTTTAAAGATATCTTAAATTTAAAAAAAAAACATATCGATATTAGTATCAAATTACCTAGTTAAAAGTTCTTGTTTTATTGTATAGTTTCTTTAATTCAACTTTTTTTTATTATAATTTAATTTAGATTTAAGAAGAAAATAATTTATTTTTGGTTTAACAATATAATTTTTTATAAAGATAATAATTAAGTATTCTGTTAGAAGATAATGATTATCCTATTTATATTTTAGATTTTTTTAATATTTAAAATGAAATGTTTATCAAGTATTTGATTATGTTTATTTGTAGTTAGTTACACAAATTCAAGTATGAAGCTTTAATAAGTTGTATTTATGCATTATTTACTTGTAATCTTGAATTTTAAGTAATATGCATCAATAAACAGTACTTCATGTATAAAAAATGAGTTTTAAGATTTTTTTATCAAATGTTTTATAATATAATATAAATATTCGGTTTAAAAAAAATCAAAATGAAGTTTTAATAGAATCCGTAGGTGATCTAAGACAAATATATTTGGATTTATTACGGTTTTGCTACGGATCTAGTTATATTTGATATAAAAAAATTAAAAAAATCTTGAAAAAAAAATCCACATACAATTCTGGACAAATATATTTAGACTTGTCACGGCTTTGCTACGGATCTAGTTATATTTGATATAAAAAAAATAAAAAAATCTTGAAAAAAAAATCCACATACAATTCTGGACAAATATATTTAGATTTGTCACGGCTTTGCTACGGATCTGACTCTATTTCTATTTAAAAAATCAAAACAAAACTTGATAAAATCCGTAGCTAGCTAATCCGGGACAAATATATTTAGATTTGTCATGACTTTGCTATCGATCTAACTATATTTGATATTAAAAAAATAAAACAGAATTTGATAAAATCTGTAGCTAATCCGAGACAAATATATTTAAATTTACCACGACTTTGCTATGGATCTACCTATATTTGATATTTAAAAAAAATCAAAAATAGAACTTAATAAAATCTGTAAAAGGTCATTACAAACCTGGGGGTATACAAAAAACCCATTACGACCTAGGGGTATACAAAAAACCTTCAACCCGTGAAACCATTTAACAACCCAATTAAACCCAACTTGCCAAGCCCTCAAATCGCAAACCCACCAAGCCGTTAATTAGGAGAGTTGAAATTGGGTTAACGTAACTCAATCCAACCCAAACCGCCAACCCACCACTAATTTATATTATTACGATAAAAATTATATATATATATATATATATATATATATGGATGTATGTGTGTGTATTTACGGTTGTTGCAACTTACAACTCAACAAATATATACATGTATTAGTCCAATTTACAGCCCGAATCCCAAAATTAATCAATTAGGCCAAGTCCAAAATTAATCCTAGTAGGTCGCGCGCTCTATGAGCTATCCAGTAGGCAATCGATACGCCCCAATTCCATTTTCCCCCTTATTCCTTAGCATGAGTGTACTAAAACGACTAGATCGAGCGCTGATGTATGATGTCAATGATCAATATGCACTTTAGTATATGATTCTCACTTGAATAGATGCTCTTGAAAGTTGGAACCACAAATGCTTAGAAGTTGCTTTCTTTCTTTATATAAATTTTTGTTGCATATATGAACATCTGAAATAAATTTCAAACTAGAAGTTGCTTTCTTTCTTTATATAAATTTTTGTTGCATATATGAACATCTGAAATAAATTTCAAACTAGAAGTTGCTTTCTTTCTTTATATAAATTTGATAATCCGTAGCAAATTCATCATTTTTTATGGTCTTTTACTTGAAAAAGGGAAATAATAAAATGCATAAATTGCCTTTTTGCTAAAGATTTGCTACAGACTCTTCCGTCATTAATGTCTTGTCGCTAAATCTGTAGCAAAATATTTTTGCGACCAGCTGATTAGCTACAACTTATTTGCGAGGTATTTAACTTTCAGCTACCGATTTGTTACGGATTTGACGATCGCTGATCCCCAATTTTCTAGTAGTGAGATGTATGTATAGCATTACGTCTATGCCTTTCAAGTTTCTTTTTCAATGATCCAAAAGATATCTAGGCTTTTTCAATCCCTGGACTGGGTTTTGTGTTGAAAGAAGGCCCGATTAGGTTCTTGCAGGTTAAACAGGTTTTTCGTACTGAACTTTAATTAACCGGACCTTGACAAAAAGAAATTGGTAGGCAGGGCCTTGACCTAGGCTCGGTAGCACAAGCTCTGTAAGCCAGGACCGAGTCTAGGATTTTTTGTACATCTCTACGTATGCAAACACTTCATCTAGTTTAAAAGAACAACCGTTTTTAAGAAGTCTGATAAAATTTCAATTGGGGTAGGCTAAAGATGCACCCTCCTGTAATATATCAATCTTAAAACTTATTTTTTACACTTTCAATATAAAATACCTGATTCTTACATTAACATAAATACATATAATAAGGCCTTTGACCTAATGGTATTGTAGTTTTTGGTCTCGTAAAAGGTGAGAAGTTCAAACTTTATCAAAAATAAGAAGTGTACGTAAGTTTATTTATTACAAAAGTATATCTATATATATATATATATATATACACTAAAAAAAGAAGAAAATTTAACAGACAACCGAACGTGTATAACTGCGTTCAAGATTTGGTTCGATCAATATCACGTTAACAAAATACATTATCTCAACTTCAAACAAACGCATGCAGCAGGGACCCATAAAACCAGGATAACTATCACAACCCACCGCTTTATCGATGCTGACGACGGCCGCACCGCCGTCGCATCGGCGGCGTTAGGCGTCTTTGCTTGTCATAAGTTGGTGGATAATAGGGTTTTGTTGGAAGCTCCCCACTTTATACCATCGGCCTGACACGTGTCCTGACACCTGTAAATAAAAGCGCAAATCTTGAATATATTGACACGTATCACCAGAGTTTGCCACCCACCACCGTCTCCTTCTTATATATTCCGCCACCTTTTCCTTTACCCTCATTCAATTTAATTCTACGGGTCCCTGAAGTGTATCTTTTCGTTTTCAGTGAAGAATTAACATAAATCCAAGATTCTTTTGTCTGAAGAAATCTCCAATCTCGTTTTCTGATCATCATGGCACAGACGGTGGGAAGAAACGTAGCAGCGCCATTGTTGTTTCTTAACTTGGTCATGTACTTCATCACTTTAGGGTTTTCTAGTTGGTGTCTCAACAAGTTCATCAACCGCCAGACCAACCACCCAAGTAATTAGCTCGATGACCATATCATCATCTTCTTGATTTGGTTAAAGTTTCACAGGTGTTGCAGAATCGAAATAAACCAAACTGACATCGATTGTTTGTAGGTTTTGGTGGCAACGGAGCGACGGAGTTCTTCTTGGAGTTTGCAATCTTAGCTTCAGTTCTCGGAATTGTCTCAAAGTTCGCCGGCGGCAACCACCTTAGGGCCTGGAGGAACGACAGCCTCGCCGCCGCTGGTTCATCGTCCCTGGTTGCCTGGGCCGTCACTGTTCTTGCTTTCGGGTAATCCTTTTTCTCTTCACCTTGTTATATATAGCAACTGATACACACACACACACACACACACATATATATATATATATATATATGTTGCATTTCTTGGAAATCTGAGACAAACATCTGAAAAAATGTAGGTTGGCATGCAAGGAGATAAACGTGGGAGGGCATAGAGGGTGGAGGCTGAGAATAGTGGAAGCATTCATCATAATCCTGACGTTGACGGAGCTACTGTATGTTTTATTGGTGCATGCGGGTCTTTACAGCAGCCGGTACGGACCAGGGTATCGCGACACAGACTACGGCATGGGGACACATCCATCGGAGACCGGTGCGAAAGGGACGACCGGAGTTGCTGGGACTAGGGTCTGATCGTTAATTCTATATATGTAATAAGTTAAAAGGAGTGGATGATGTTGTTGAACTTGGATCTTTGATGCGATTTCGTTGTATGTTTGTGTAAATTGGAATGCATGTTGTTGGTATTTATTAACAAAATGAACAACCTTTGATATATTGCTTTCTGGATTTAAAAAGATGAAGATACCCAACTTCAAGTGTTCCTTCCATTTTGCTCTAGAAAGTTCTGAAATTCAAAACCACAATCACGACGCAACATTAGGTTCCTCGAAAGTTGACTACATCAACACACGATCTCAAGAAATCTTGATCTTGATCTTGATCCGCTCAAATCGGAAGAGGAAGAAGTTGGTAAATCGACTTTGCTTTGGCGTAATTACAGATTAAACGGGAAGTTGACAACGTTTTACATTCAAAATCAAAGTATGATCTAATATCGTCGTCTTTTCTAAGTAATAAATGATGATTTGTAATAAAGGAAATATCCGACAAAGGACAAAAGGAAACCATAGAGCAAATGTAAAGGAAATATCAGTTATCGTTGTAATAAAAGCTTAATAAGAGTAATGAATGAAATTTCAGGTGATGAAATTAAAGACTTCAGTTGGATCTGAGTGAATGTTATTCATTCATTCAGGTGATGAAATTAAAGACTTCAGTTGGATCTGCGTGAAATTAAAGACTTCAGTTGGATCTGAGTGAATGTTATTAAAATAACATAATATAAAAGGTAGAATGATAAAAGGTAGAATGAGTGTGGCGTGGTGATGTAACATAAATTTTAGCATATAATGTTATAAGAATGTTATAGCAAGTAGTCAGCTATAATTAGTTTTATCATTTATTTTGAGGTATTCTTCTTGAACTTTTACTATTGTATTATATTATTTTTTTAACTCATATTTTTATGTGGTATCCGGATCATAGATAATGATGAATAATGTTATCAAAATATATAGATAAATGGATTCCTGTGTTGAAAATCACTCTTTTGAGGATCCTCATATATTTTAAAATATTTAATATATTTAATAAAATATTTAATATATTTAATAAAATATT